TACACAAGTATCAAAGCATTCAGGCTTGTAGTTTCAAGAAGAAGTCGAAAAAGTAAAACACTGACACGGACGACGGACAATCACTTATATGATAAGCTCTGCTCGACAAAGTTGACAGCGGAGCTAAAAAGATAATCACAAAATCGCAACCAGACATACTCCTAATGAACATCTAATGCAATATAGTGATTCTGTGAAAGAACTGATTTGTGTTCAGCTCAGATAATTTTAGTAGTGTCCTTGATTATTTGCAAAGCATGTTTTACTTATGTGTTTTTGCATGCAAATCAATACCTACATTTTGGATGAAACTAGTCAAACAAAAAACTTTAAACGGTTGAAAAGTAAAACACAATCTCAGTCAGCGCTAAATTATCATTGATTACCGGTGCATATTAGCCTTTTCAAACCAGATTTTCTTGACCAAATTTTTCTGCATTTTTTTTTACTTATATTCTTCAATATTTTTGGAAATGTACCCTAATTTTGGAGCCAACAGCCAAAATTTAACTCATTTTTCAGTTTTTACATAAAAAAAGTGACTATTTTTGCCCAATCTCCTGAAGGCAAGTGCAGACTATAAACGGGACTATTTTTTTAAATTTGTGAAAAAAAGAAGAAACTAGTGGTGATAAGGTTAAACTTTGTGTTTGAGTATAATATTAATACAAATGTGGAACATTCTACTTGTTTGGCATTACATTTTTCAAGAATTTGGTATGAATTTCAATAAAAATATTGCAATGTCATTTTACAGTCTAAACTACCGGTAGTGCAAATTCTCACCTGATCATAAGAATTTTTAAATTTTTGGGCACAGAAAAATTGAGCTTCTTTTAAAGTTGTGAAACATAATTTCATTTTCTGACTTATATATACTACAGCATCACATGTTGAGATTGTGGATGAGTACCAAGAATTAACTGTAGAATATGAATTTAAATGAGCCTTTTAAATTAAGTTAGATTTGTAAATAATAGACACTGAATGAGAATGTAACTTAAAAATTATTGTTTGCATGTTGGTTCAACAGAATATCTGTATGTTTACTCTGTGAATAATATTATATTTTAGTTTGAAAGTGATTATAAAGATGTTTAGCAACTGGAATTTTTTGTTTAAACAAATCGTATAATTTCTGTCAAAATCTATTGATCCTTGTTCATGTGTCCATGTGATGTGTTGACTCAGGAACACACAAAACATCAAAGAAACCAGAGAGCCTTCAAATTTAACTTTTTGTTTATTTCGCCATTTTCAGTTACTCTTACCCCAACGACACTACTTTCTACATATCAATCCACTCTGGTGATCAGGTGACATATAACACCATTACAAAAGTATGTATTCCGACGCATACAATAAAGTAGTTCCAAAAACGTCACAGTATTTATAAGTAAATTCCTTATTTTTTTATATTTCATTATCAACAGCCTTATAACAATTTATTCTAGCTGGAATGCATGGTTTTATTATAGTGAGTGTCACAGTTTAATATGCTAGAAGTAGAGGAAACCCAATCAATTTACTTACCTACTGAATTGAATTTCGTAAAAAATGTTGGTGATTTAAAATTTATCAGAGGAAATAAAATCAAAACTAAAAAGAATGGAACTGTTAATGTTTGCTGCCACATTTCAAAAAATAATGTTTCTGATTCAGTTGTATTATGTAGATGATGGTGAAGATCTGAAACAAAAACAAAAGAAAACACATTTGTTACTCAATATGTTGAGGGCAGTATACAACACTCTATGGTTGTCAATGTTTTGATATCAAACGTTGAGGGCATTTGAAGAGAGCTATGTTCTCTCCAATACATTTTTTTTTCTGGATTCTCCAAAGAAATACTGTTGGTATTAAATAACTTTGTTCACAAAGACATCAAATTTCAGCAGCAAAAACTGTTTTGCAATAAATTAGGGTTTACAAAACTACTGGTGATGTTTATGAACCATTGCTCATTCAAGTTCAAGAGAAACTCTTTATTATAAACTGCAGCTAGAAAATACTACTTCAATTATTAACAATGACCAAAAGTGATGACTGTAGCTCTAGGCACAACTTGGCACTTGTTTGTTCTGCAGAAACCCAAAATTTTCTCCCTTCTAAAAATACGTAAGTGATATATCAGGTGATATATGATGACTGATTGGCTACTTTTTGTTCTAAAAATCTAGGTTTTAAAAAGTGAAAAAAAAATGTTTTCAGGAAAAAATTGATCAATTATCTGAAAAAATGATACTGCAAAACACGACAGAAAAGAAAATGCAATAATTATTAATACTGTTTGTGGCTCAGTAAAATAAGACGAAAAATTTATTAAAAAAAAACAGTGATTTTGGACTCACGATTGCTGAATCCAGTAACAGTAAGGTTAACATTCGGTATGTTAGGATCACTCGATGGCGGATGTAGACAGATAGCACTGTCAGTCACATTGAGCGCTACAGACATATTAAAATTGTTAACTTCATCTGAAATAAATTCAAAATGACTATCAATTTAATATTCGTTGTCATGATTGTTCAGTGTATAATTCTCATTTCATACATGTGCCATACTATTACACATAATAAGCAATATCTCTCACACACTCTCTCAGTATATTTCTCATTTCATACATGTGCCATACTGTTACACATAATAAGCAATATCTCTCACTCTCTCTCAGTATATTTCTCATTTCATACATGTGCCATACTGTTACACATAATAAGCAATATCTGTCACTCTCTCAGTATATTTCTCATTTCATACATGTGCCATACTGTTACACATAATGAGCAATATCTGTCACTCTCTCTCAGTATATTTCTCATTTCATACATGTGCCATACTGTTACATATAATAAGCAATATCTGTCACTCTCTCTCAGTATATTTCTCATTTCATACATGTGCCATACTGTTACATATAATAAGCAATATCTCTCACTCTCTCAGTATATTTCTCATTTCATACATGTGCCATACTGTTACACATAATGAGCAATATCTGTCACTCTCTCTCAGTATATTTCTCATTTCATACATGTGCCACACTGTTACATATAATAAGCAATATCTCTCACACACTGTCTCAGTATATTTCTTATTTTATATCATAACTCATTCATCTTATTACACAAACACTACATATTTTATAATGGAATATATTTATTAACTATTCAGTGAAAACTCAACTTAAGCGCTTCTGTTAAATGGTTATACTACTACTTTTGCGTAAGTTTTGCGAACTGTTAACGAATGCGTCAGTTTGAAACCCACACAAATTCTCTTTGCAATTCTGCTTACAAATAAAGTGCACCACATGTGTAGAATAGGGAAATGCAGTATTAAATAAATGTTGAACATTAAACATGTATTTTGTTATTATGGTGTTAAGTAATCTTATAGACAAAAAAAAACTATTTAAAAAAAGTCATAACCACAGTCATTTTTCAATATTCTCTATGTCGGGAAGCAAAATCTTTTATTTCTGGCCAAATCTTTCAAAATTACAAGCGGTATCATTGCAAATTCGAAGTATCAAAGCATGCTAGGTTTCTAGTAAGTTCCACAATTCATTAACTTACCATAGATGTATTTCACTGCATGGTAAAGAAAACTACTCATAAGAACCCAGTATGCCATAGCTCCGCCCAGCAAAGCAGACACAGAAAATACGGTGCTTATGTACAGACCCCATTTACCAAAATAGTAACTGCATACTTCAGAAAATTCCATCACATTGTCATCTTTTCTTTCTACAATGAATATCAGTAAAAAATGAATATTTGAATTTGTTAAGGATATTCAATAAAGTTTAATTTTACTAAACATTTTTTTATTTTCTATACACTGTGAGATTAATCTATTATAAGATATTAGAAATAATTTACATTATTATACATCTGTCATCATAATGCTATAAGTTACAGCGTGTCATAATTTTGCGGTATTGCACTTGGTAATTTTCATCCTACCATATTAGGAAATGCAAATTCCAAATATGGAATGATTACACGAGTAAGCATCCTTTAATAATAAAAAACAAACATGACTGCCCCCAGGGTTTGACCGAACAAAGAAGTTCGTTAAATCTGTTCTAAACATTTTGGATTTCGGCATTCCCATGATGTATTCCTGGCAGGAAAAGATGTATAATAATAATAAAGTTATTGCGAGGATACTGCAAAGTATGCACTCAGACAGTGCATGGTCGCATCGACCTCCGCTGCGCATCTATCGATATTCCAGCTGTACTGTTTTGTGCATACTTTGCAGTATTCTCGTAATAACCTCATATTATTAGTATTACTCACCAACACCGTCTAGCGATCGTATTACCCTGTATGCAGTATAGCATGTCAAAACTGCCATAAAAACTAAAAAAAACACGCCTAGAACAAGACCAGCTTCACCAATAGCCCAAGGCATACACAGTAAAGAACTGCCCATCATGGTGTTCCACACTGAAAAGCTTCGTTTGAGAGAAAGTTTAAAAAAAAATCAGTTAAAGTCCACCAAAGTTATAGTTTTAAAACAATATGGCTTCCTTTAAAGTTAGTAACTCTAGAGCAAAACTCTAATCTGAAGATCATAACAATATTGACTACTGTATTAATATGAAAAATAAATCTAATATGCAAATTATAAAATTAATATGCAGAGATTTTCAAATGAGAATCAAACTCAAATTCTAACTTGCAACAATAATACAAAACTATTGAAACTATGAAGTGTGTTCATGGTAGTCAGAGTCATATATAGAACCCATACTAGTGAGTTGTATGATATTATGTGTATGAGCTTTGCCAATAGTCAAATTGAATTAATCTTGTAAAAATTTAGAATTTGTAGACTTACATTGTTACTATACTGCTTTGTTTTTTTTGCGATGCTGGATCTGTAAGAATAGCTGGAAATACCAATAATGACACTGGTAGCACATGATCTGGTATATTCTAGAAATAAGTTATAATTAGAGACAGTGACAAGACATACAATCAGTGAGAACTCACAAGCCAATCCAAGTAATAGGTGTGTGGGCATTCGCATTGATTCAAAAACAATGTCGATTTTTCTTGAATTTCCTTTATTCATTTATTGTTATTTTTGTTTAATTATGAATTTT